TGGACAGAGATATCCCCGGCGGCGGTGCAGCGGGCCGGCCGGGCAAGGCACCGGCTACGCTCCTCTAAATAGAATAAACGGGAGAAAGGACAAAGCTCCCCAACGGTTTTGCCCCGTGTGTGACAATATCCGTGAAAGCAATGGGCATCCGGGGATGAGAGGAGACCCTGTCTCAGGAATCTCGGGGGGGAAAAAAAGGCTGTGGAAAGTGAGCAGGAGTGGAAGTGAATTATGCACTCTTATGATTTGTATGTGCAGGGTGGGAGAGACTGCAGCGCAGAAACTCAGAATACGGCAGCCAAGATCAGCTCATATGGCCCAGCCCGTAAGCAAGAACATTCCCTGTGCCTCATCGAAGTTGCATTCAGAAGCTAAAAGGGAAGAGAAAACATCATGACTTTACAGTTTAGTATCTGGCTTCCAATATCTAAGCTCTTTGGAAATCTGAGATTCAGCTCTTAGAAGGTGCCTTAACGGGGCTGAAAGTTTCCTCTTCTAAAATTAACAAGAAAAGGAGATTGCTGAGCCCAGCCTGTGTTAGTCCCAAAGTAAATTCAGCATTGATTAGGGATGAAACTCTATTGTGGAGAGCTTTCTAGCCTTATTTTCAGGGAAAACTAGAGAAGCGAACATCCTGACTTGCGCCTGGCAACCACTAGCTCATACATGTTGCAGTGGTAGGCAAAGTCGTGCAAGGTCTCGACAGCTGTGGGTATGGCTTGCTGATCAAGTCATTTTGGTTTAAGTAAGGATGACAGAGGAGGCGCCTGTTGTGTAGAGAGATTTCCAAGGCAAAGGCTCTGTCGATTTCTGTTTTCTTCAAAGACTCACTTTGCTCCTTTTCCACCTCCTGGAAAAAGAAAGTTGATCCCTTTGGTGACTGTCCAGTGCTGAAGGAACTCTTTTTCCTTCTCAGTTGTGGGTAACAGTAAATGAATGCTAAGCTCTGAAGGGAGACAAGTTCCCTTTCCTTAACCATTTTGATAGCATCGTGGCCTGCGGCGTATGAGAAATCATTACTGTGAAGGAATCCTTGCCAAGACTTGGAGAGTGTCTGACCCGCAGAGAAATCTCATGGAGGATCCAAAGCAGTGACTGGCAATCGTGAGAGCTGCATAGAGAAGGGTAAGCAAGGTAATTTGCCCTGCATCCTGCTCTGAGATGCTGGAGAAGACCTAATCTTTACCTTACAATAGAGGGTCCAGTTCCTGTTTTTGTTTTAGGAGTCTGAGACTGCTCTATGATACTGAGTTTCCGTATACAGATGATAGGAGAGCGTGCCAGGCTTCATCCGGACGTGACACGTGCCCTCAAACCTCAGACTAGAAAGGATGGGACGCATCGTGTGCGGTGAGGTACAGATGCGAGCAGGTGGCTATTGCCGAAGGGCAGACACAGCCAGTTGATGCAGGTGCGCCTGGTAGGCTGTTGGCTGCAGTAAGCAATAGCTTGGGTGTGAAGGTGACACAAGGCTTTTTCCAGAATGTGGTTTGTTTTTACCAGGCCCTCTGCAAAGAGTGGTTAGCTTGTCCTTTTCCCATCACCTCGCTTTATGCTGTGTGCTAACGTGAAATGACGAGCTTGTCTCCCTCCCTTCTCCCCATCAGGGCCACGAGCGCTGAGATCCGCGTTGACACATGCACACTCACCCGCAGTAAGGGAGCTCCTGCTGCTGCAGAGTGAGGCTCTTCCTGTGAGTTTAAAGGCTTGCGTGCCTACGTTTCAGGTTAGCGGAGCGCATAAAACTAGCTGCTGTGCAGGCCTGGCCCTCAGTGTGTGCACAAGGTTTGAGCACTGTACTTTTCACTGATCTCTTATCTCACCTCCCACATCTAAATCTGTTACAATATTTTCATGCCTCTCTTTCCTTGTCCTTATCTGGCTTCTCAGACCAGGAAGACTGATTACTGCTTTTAGTCACTTGGTTGTTGTATGAGACTTGGACCACTTAGACTACTGATCAGACCGATCACTTTATATATTCATGGTGGCTTTCAGATACCGGTGACCAGAGTGAGACTTCTGCTTGCTTCTGGAGGCAATCCCATATTGGAAGCGATGACAGACAGATAGAGGGACATACTAGAAAATTATCACTGGCATAAATCTTTCTCGTGAAAAATGATAAACAGGGATTGTTAAAAGCGGGATTGTGCCCTGTTAGAATTGATTTGCCTTTTTTTGTAATGTGCTGAGGTCTTGCAATGAGAAGGACTAGCAATATGATAACATTTTAGGAATTTTGGTTATACACACATGTTACAAGTAGTGCTAGATTCCTAAGCATGCCCTGTATCTAATAAGGCTGATCCCAAGAGAAGCAGTAGGCTGAAAATTGGAAGTAAACACTTGTCAGACAGGCTGTCTAGCACTCAGATAAATAGAAAAGTTCTTCAAGGGTTATTTCAACACTGAAGGGCAGCTTGGGAGGTGTATCAACAGCAAGAGGATGGCGCAGAAGGATTTGTTGCTTTATGTGTAATCCCAAAATCCACAGTTATGAGACATCATTTGGAGCCTGTATGGAACTGAAGTCAAATCTAGTTTAATGTGCTGCAAAAAAATGCGTGTGTAAGGATCCATTTTGGAGCTCTACCTCAAATTTCAGCTACAAACGTTAAAAAATTGGAAAGTATTTGACCTGGTTTCTCTCTGAAAACTGATGTAACTGCATGCTGTATAATTTGGCTTTTGCATGTTGGACTAGAACAATAACTGAAAAGGAGGGCTGGAAAAAAAATCGGAACGTTACAGGAAACAAATTCTCTTCCAAGTGCTTTGGGAAAAATAGACATATGCAATAGGATATAAGTTCATCAGGCACTATTGTGTATTTGTCAGTTTTAAAGTGGGGTTTTTCTTCTACTGTTTTACATCTTCAGAACTTGGTATGGCTATTTAATAATAGTTAACAGCAGATTATGACAACTGCAGTTATTACCAGTTTTCATAGCTGTAAGTTCCTCAAGGCAGGATTCATTCCTTTATTAAGACTGAAAGTCACAACCATTTTATAAATAATAAGTAGTGCCAGTGATTTGATTATTGCATTCCCCCCGTCTACCTCCATAAATTAAAGGGATTTCTGTTACCTTGACAAGGCAAGACTGCCTACAGACAGAGACACTTGAAGCTTAACTGTGTACAGGGACCAAACTGCAAGCAGTGCAGAGTGCCAAGGCTGCACTGACCCTCCTTTGCTGCTGGGGCTGTTTCAGGACTGCAGCTCCCGTGCTCCACTGCAGCTTAGGGACTGCTCTTGTCCCTCTGGGAACAAAAGTGAATTCGGGAGTTGTAGCACCTGTTACTACAAGAACTTGAATACAATTTGTTTCAGTTTTGGTGCAAAGAGGGGGAGAAAAAGAGCAAAATAGTGTATTTTTTCCAAGTTCAGTCTTCTTTTTAAAGCCACACCTGTGGCAACCAATGCATCTTATGATGCCAGGGCTTGCAGCCTGAGTCTCTAGAGAACTGGAATGAGGTGAGACTAGGCTATGGAGCCCAAATCTTTACTCAGAGCCAAATGTTGCCTATCACATGGTAGATAATGGGACCTCAGTTTTGGATGTGGACCTGTTATCTAAATGATTAAGACAATAAGTTGCAAAGAGTGTCACGTTATTTAAGAAAAACGACGGTTATCTTGTTGGACACTACATCAGGGACGTTTTTGTCCCCTACGACTCTCTGAGTTCCCGTATTGTCAGGGGCCAATGCAAAAACGGATGTTTGCTGGGGAGGCAGGCAGCCGCTGGCCGGGCGGGCAGTGCTGCGCTGGCAGAGGAGAGCCCCTCGCCTCTGTGGAAGTGCCATGCTGACACCTAGCGACCACCTTCTTCAGAGCCTAGAAATCAGCTGGGCACCCACTTCCTCTTCCCACAAGATGAAGGCAGAGGTGATGCAAAGTGGTAAAGGTCCAGACCCAAAAGGGTAACCGGCACAGTAAGAGCCGTGAGTTTTTATGGGTCTTGGGTTGTAATCCCACATCCTCTCTTTTGGACACCTGCCCTGTAAATATGACCCTGTTCCTAGTCGCAGCTGTCACTGCAGCAAACCGGTCAATCTTTGCATTTTTTATTTGGACAAATAGATGGACAGTGAAAAGTGAAATGGCTTTCAAGCAGCAAGGTATATGAGCGGACCATTTCCTGTGGAGTCGAAATGATGATAGGACAAGAGGAATAATGAGGCAGCAAACTCAGCTGGAACTGCTTGAAACAGTGGATGAAAACAGTCTGCCTCTTCCCTGAAGGCAAAAGGAGCATAAGCAAAGGCAATACTGTACTGGTTCTGATTATTTGGTGGGTAGATGGAGGACAGAAAGTCAAGGTAGGGAAAAGCAGGCAGCGCTCAGTCTGCTGAGCAGCAGCCAGGTGTCTGGCCAAACACATATATAGGTCTGGACTAGCTACAGGTTACAGCTGTCTCCTGGAAGCATCGCAGGAGTGTAATGAGGACTGGAGCTCACTCAGGTACTCACAGGGAATTTGGTCCTGGTTGCAAAATCTGCCTGAGAAGTTAAGGGATACAAAAGGGGTCTGTGTTTGTGATCTTCTGCCTTGCAGTGGCTATACTAATTACATACGCACTATCATGTGAAAGACAGTGTAAGGTTCCCTTATTGGCTGATCCTGCAAAGCCCACCACAATTCCTAGAGTTTGTAAGAGCATCCCAAAAAATCTCAGGAGAGTAAAATGGTCAATATTGTGTTGCTTTTCAGACACAAGTAATGACTCCAGATAAGGCCTCTGTAAGAAGCTGTCCCTTCAGGACTGGCAGGGAGCTTTCTGAAGGGAACCTTCCAACAGAGAAGGAGCAGAGCTGCATGCAACTTTGAAAGTTATTTTGAGGCAGTTTCTGCAAAGTAAGAGTTTATTTAAGAAGTACGGGCCTCTTAGATAGGTTTTGCTCTGCTTATGTGAGATACCTTCTCCTTTTCACTAGGTGGCAGCAAGAAGATGGCTGTAAGCATCGGGAGGATTTTTTTTATTACAGTAAGCAGAGAGTTTACAACTGGTTTCCTGTCTGAATGGGTTTCCCTTGAGCAATCCCCATACCCGTACAATCCTCAACCAGAAAAACAACTCACAGCAAGTCTGTCAAGAGCACTGGCACAGATGCCTGAAACATCTCTCTTCCAGACAGGAGAGGACAGACTCTGCAGAGCTACAGGAGTCGCTGCATGTTTCAGCACAGAAGGTGAGATTTTTTGGTCTGCAGTTCCCTCTACTGGCAAATTCTCTACTTGCATCAGCCAAGCTCAGAGGCAGCCTGGTGATTTGGGCAGAGCTCTGGCTGCCTGAGGCAGCTGCACTGCTAAGGGGTACAGGTAGAGCTGAAGAGGGTTAGCACCGCAGACGGCATGGGGAGGAGGGAGAGGACCACACAGTTACCATAAAGTAGGCTCGTACATGCTGCGCTGCCTGGCCACAGTAGCCCCTGCCTCTTATGAGAGCAAAGCAGAATCATCTTCCCTTTCCCAGGGCAGCTAAAGCAAACCTGAGTTTGCAGCTAGAGTTTTGGATTAACAGACCGCATCTAGTTCTTTCTTCCCCCCAAGTCCCATTTTCCTTCTCCTGTTCTTCCGTCCCAGCCCCCTCAGACCTTCAGCACTCGGATTAGATTTTTGTTATGCCAGCCAGCAATGAACAGAGGACCCTTGGCTTTGGCTACATCTCTATGTATTTGCTGAAGACCCCTCATCATTGCCTCTGCTAAGCTAAGGGACATGCTTGGAAATCCATTGAGCCCTGTGGAAAGAGGAGAGAGCAAACGTTTTTGGAGAGAATTTAAATACAGAGCTATGCAGAGCTATATGAAACCATTACTAAAGAGAAAAGAGAGAGTGAAGAGGACCCCAGCTACCTTTGCAGAGCCCAAGCAAAAATATTGCTTTCCTTTGCTGAAATCAAAGCAAAAATGCTAAGCACAGCCCCTTTTTAAGCTAGAAGGAAGTCTCAAAGCCTGCCTCCTTCCCGCCTTCACGCTAGCTGCCACAGAGCAACTCTTACAACGTGACTGTGCCTTCTGGTAACACGCCACAGCTGGGCCAGCAGCTGGGAACCCTTTCTTTGCCAGAGCAAAGGAGGAAGCCCATCTAGGGCCCTCTCCTGGTGCAGAGGGCTGCATGACAGCAGCATGCTGGTGCTTAGTTTGCCAAGAACAAAGTATTGACAGATGCAATAGCAGGCAGAGGAAGGGGATGGGCTGACTGCTCAGAGCTGTATGACTGCATGGTTACGGCATGGCTAGTGGGATATGCAGGGTGAATAGCGGTGCATTGTCAGGTTGGTGCAGCCTCGGAATTATGGGTCTTTGTTCTGTGCTCAGAGGTAATACCAAGGGCCTGTTGCCATATCCTCACCTCTCAGTGGCGTTGAGGGAGATGCATGGGACTCCGTTGCTGAACACTGGTAAAGACATTGGCCAGACATACGCCCCTATGGCTGCTTTGTCTCTGCAGAACTAACCTGTGCATTAGGAAAGGTCATACTTGAGAGTTCTGGATGTGCCAGATGGCCTTTAAGAAAAACTGAGTTGGGAAAATGTGCCAGTTTGAGGCCAGGCTTTTCTTCTAGTCACAATGCATGCACAATGCACAATGCATTACTGATCACAATGTGGAGCATGGAATTGAGGCCTGACTTTCTTTCAGAAGGTTTTTGGAGTAGGGATTTGAGTTCAGAATGAGGTCTAGACTTCTCTCCCAAAGACAAGTGCTGTACTCCCTTTCCTGCTTTTCACAGGAAGGAGGTTTCCACCTGTCTAGTGCTTTCAATCCCATCCTGCAACCTGAATATCCCAACCTAAGAAGTGTGGGAAAAATTGGCTATTCTAATAAGACAGGGGAGCAGTCGAAAATGGATTAAGTAGGGATTGAATGTGTCTTGTGAGAGCCTGGCTATTGATTTCTAACCCTCCCTTTCTGACGTTATTGCAGAAATGATTTTCTTCTGCACTGTGCAGAGATTAAATATTAATAAATAGAAAATTAAAAAAAAAGGGGAAAGAAAGACCAGATCCCAAGGCATCCCACTGCACAATTAGAAAACAAATGAAGGATTTCTAGAATGAAAAACTGTTTCCTCAAGTTTTCTTGAGCCCAGAGTAGAAACATAAGGGGTTTTGGTGAGATCATTTGTAATGTTTCTATTTAGTGTTTTGTAGCAGAGTTCTGTGGGTTTGAGCCACATCCCATTGCAGTAGGTTCAGTATAAGCATAGAACAAAAAAGATGGAGTTTTACTTGGATCCTGGTTACCAGTGACCCATTTACTCACTGATGATGAAATAAGGGGGAAGATGCAGGTCTTCTCTGGCTTCACTTGCTCTGCATCCTGCAGTCAGACTCAGTTCCATTAGGTGTCTATTTATTATTTAACATTGGGAGATGGAGGGATAAGGCTGACCAAGATGATGTTTATGTCCTAGACGTTTCACTTCTCACAAACATTGCACAGGCTGCTACTTGCCATGAACTCTGTGGCTCCCAAATGAAACCCACAACCTTGGGTCTCTGGAGCAGGAGAGGAGCTGACAGGCAACCTTTGCATGCAGACGAGGACTCTGACTGTTCACAGACGTTCCAAGAAAATCTGCTCCCCACTTTTGAGTTCCCCATGAGAACTGTATTTCTCATTCTGCCCCATCTCTCCCCTCACTTCACGGGAGTTGGGCGGTAATAAAATGAAGAAAGGGCATGGTGCAAGTCTTCCATCTAATTCCTGAAAGATCAGTATTCTTTCTGCAGCAGGATACACATGGAAAATGCAAAAGAAGGTTTGGAGATATTTAACGTAGAAGACCATTCCTTTTTAGGAAGTGGTTAGTGTGGGAAGGGGGCTTGCTAGGGTCTTATCCAAAGGCTGTAGAAGTGTATGTGTGCCTGCTACTCATCATGCACGTTCTCTCCCAGCACCTTAAAAGGCGGTTCATGTTGCCACTGTACATCGTCCAGGAGAGAGAAAATCAGATCTATGAACAAAGTGTCATGCATTTTCATCAGGTGTTTGTCTTTCTTTTTTCCTGTCTTTGAAATTCTTGCAGCATACATAGAAATGGGCAAAAAATCTGCCAAAATGTGGGACTGCAGCAACCAGCTCTGACCTTGAATGATATTGCTCTCTCTGATGACCTTCACTGTAGCGTTCCTAACTCCAATGGCAGCCTGCTGTATTGCAGGATTTTGTGGGCGTCACAGAGTCTGCACGCTCCAGGTTTGAGACAGCTGGGCTGCATCAGGCTTGCTTTACTGTTTTGGTTCCTCTTGTCCCCACAGCCCTAGTTAGGAATATTGGAACCATCCTCTGCTGCTGACCACGTTTTCCTGGCTGTTGTTTTTTTGAAGCAAGTAATTTTCATTCATGCTGATGCAAATTCAGAGCAAAGTTAGTGACTGGAGACAACAGAGGAAGGAAGAGGGACTAACTCTAGGGTTTCGTAAGTATAACCAAAGGCAGGATTCGGCCCACTGCATTTCTGCACTCCCCCTCTGCAGCAGTCAGCAGCATTATGGCCTGGTTTCCATTCTAATCTGATAGCTTTCAAGCTGCACAAGATATGTGATCAGTGCAGTCCATCCCAAGGAGGCCCGTCCATGATAGGCTTGTACCTGAACATGCCTCATCTGTTCCTGTCTCTGTTCTTTATTTTTTTATTTTTTTATTTTTTTAATGATCTCCCTCAAATTGATTGGCCTTGGCTGGTTGTGGCAATGCCAATGTCAGTTCTTTGTGGCCTTAATACTCAGCCATTTGAAGTCACTGCATTGACTTTGGATTGTGTCCTCATGTTATTCACCTCATTATGGTCCTGTGGCTTATTCTTTGTCTCCTCAGCAAAGCAACCCCTGGCAGGACTTGCAAGACAAATGGGCAAGCCTGTAGGAACCCTACAACCTGCATAGTCCTTCCTTGGATGGCAAAAGTGCTGACCACCTTCAGCTGATAGAGGGGGAAAAAGAGTTTCTCTGGATTCAGAAAGATGGTAGATAAAGTATGTGAAACACATGGACAAATGGTAGCCTGGCCCTGTGCTTCAGATACTGGCATAGGGCTGAGCAGATGGGGCTCCGGTCTTTACTCTTTTACAGATTCCCTGTGTGCCTGAGGTGACCCGGATGCTTGAAATCAATGGGAGTCAGGAAACTAAAGACTTGCGAGACCCAGCTTTTAAAGTGCTGGAGCTTCTGTGGCGTGACAAATGATGGTCCATCAGCAGAGCTGGATATCTAATCATGTATACTCCTAGTCTGCTCTGAAAATAAAACATCCTACCTTGGAGAGTAGTCCAAGAATGCTTCTGTGGACAGTTATCAGGAATCAGCTGATGGGTGGTAACTCTATAAGCCATGGTAAATCAATTGCTTTCTGTTGTGTCTCATACCCTCAGCTGCTTTCTGTGCTTCAGTAGCTCATGTTCAGAGTAGCAACGTTTGCAGACCTGGGGCCTGACAGCACCGTGCACAAATGGTTGTAAAGCACTCTGATACTGTGGCTAGTGCTAGATTCCCATACATATTCTCGTGTTGCCTGGTAAGATGGTACAGTAGTAAAAAAAAGTGAGTAAAGGTCCTTCCCGGATGTATAAAAAGTGTGTGTGCGTGCAGATTATGCACATCACACCTAGGTTTAGAAGCAACATACGGCATTATTTGGCAGACACTAGGCAATAGTTAGTGATGATGCTAGCTATATATAATAGAATTTCGGAGGGTGTGAGAAAGCAGCACCTCCTCCCATCTGCCCCCTTAAGGGAAGCAAATGCTTTGCTGTAACACTGTTCCCTGAGAGCTAGAACTTTAGCAAATAAGGGACTTTATTAAGTTGTTAATAAGATTTCATTTTCTCACTAATGCTACAGTGCTGCATTATTAATTTAAAACTGTATTTAGCCTGACATGCTAAAGTGCTAGGCCTCATTATTAATGCATAAACCCATGCCTCTGTTGTTTAATTAAACACCATGATTATGAAGTTCTGATGTGGTTTAATGATAGCAGGCTGGAGTGGCAGTACATTCCTGTGCTCAGATCCCCCCCATTCTCCCCCCCCCCCCCCGCTGCCACTACTTTCTCCTTTCATTTCCCCTTAAAAGCACAAATGCAGTTGTTGTTCTACTGAATAAACACCACATGACAAACGATGTTGATCTTTCCAAGGTGACATAGAATTACATTTTTTATTTTCCTAGGCTTAGATT